CCTTTTTCATCGAACCTACGGCGTTCTACGTTCCAAGCTAAGCAAACCAAACCGCAACCCGAGGGGTTGCAGCCTCGGAATTCTCAACCAGAGCTGTGATCCCAAATCCCGCCRGGAATCTGCGAGGGCCTGACCCGGAGTCCAGCGCTTCCAGGCAAGGGAATTCCAAACAGACAGTAGCAATGAACACTCAGTGGCGTGAAGTGGATGTCATAATTAAGGTATTACATAATCATGCCTTCTCTCTGCTGTTAAATACAAAAACAGCATCTTTTACATTATCATATAAAAGCATTTAGGCTGTATTTTTATTTATCACTTTACACTGGTAGTCTCTTGTATGTGTACTCAATAGAAACCAAAGAATTTTGTACACTATTTTTTGTACAATAAAAGATAAAGTGTGCATTAGGTACGCTTGTACATGACAATATTGTACAATATTTACAGTTCAGATATCACCATGAAATTCTGTATTATCTATATACACAATGAAAATTTCTCAGAAACATTTGGACTATTTCTTATAATCACAATTTTTTTTCTTTTTTTTAGTATTATAGAAAAAAAAAAAAAAATCTCAGTAATCATCTGACATCGTTACTGCAACCTTTCGAGATTTCTGATTGGCTTATCCAGCGACCTCTACCCCTCCTGATCATCCCAAAAAAATCTTGTACCAGCGCTGCTCGTGGCGCCCAGCGAGCCGTCGGCACCGAAATCTCACTGGATCAATACCTACAGATAAGACTCGTGCACGGTCACTGCGGGAAGGACTGGACCAGTAACAAACACATTCAATGTTATCTCGAGATCTTCCTCCTCTTGAGTTTTGGAGGCTTCACTTGTCTGTCTCCCTGCGGGATTTGGTGGACCTGGAAAGGAAAATGAGAAGGGGTTGGTAAAGGGTAGAGGAGTTGGGAGGGATGGGAGAGCTCGAGGTGAGATCAGGGATTGGGTCTGGGCATTTTATAGAATCCAGAATTAATGGGGGAGGAGAAGAGAAGGGGGATCCCAAAACCTGGGGATCCCAAACCTTGGAGAGAGGCAGCAGCTGCAGGGGTTGGGAAACCACCAGAGACTGAAATCACTGAATTGGGGGCTGAAATCACTGAATTGGGGGCTGAAATCACTGAATTGGGGGCTGAAATCACTGAATTGGGGGCTGAAATCACTGAATTGGGGACTGAAATCACAAAATCAGGGACTGAAATTAGTGATCAGGCACTGAAATCACAAAACCAGGAACAGAAATCACTGAATCAGGGATTGAAATCACAAAATCAGGGACTGAAATCACTGACTTGGGGACTGAAATAATCAAACCAGGGACAGAAATTACTGATCAGGGACTGAAACCACCCAATCAGGGACTGAAATCACAAAATCGGGGACTGAAATCACAAAGTCAGGGACTGAAATTACTGAATCAGGGACTGAAATCACAAAATCGGGGGATTGAAATTACTGAATCAGGGATTGAATTCACTGAACTGGACTGAAATCACCAAATTTGGGACTGAAACCACAAAGTCAGGGACCAAAATTACCAAATCAGGGACTGAAATCACAAAATCAGGGGCTGAATTCACAAAATCAGGGATTGAAACCACCAAATCAGGGAGTGAAATTACTGATCAGGGATTGAAATCACCAAATCAGGGACTGAAATCACAAAATCGGGGACTGAAATCAAAGTCAGGGACTGAAATCAGCAAATCAGGGACTGAAATCAGCAAATCAGGGTCAAAAATCAGCAAATCAGGGTCAAAAATCAGCAAATCAGGAACTGAAACCACCCAATCAGGGACTGATCCCAAACTGCAACAATGGCAAATTCTAGTGACAAACTTTTATACACTGCAGTGACCCAGAGTGATGAAAAGTGTGAAGAAGGAGATGAAAAAATGCTGCTGACGGAGAAAACTGGAGAAGTGCAACTCAGGGCTGTTGTTAAGGAAGTTTGTGTTTGAAAGATTGAATTCTGAGCKAWTGCWGGGTTGATCTGAGAGCCAAAGTTTKCCATGGCTGGGTGCTCAGGGAAAAGCAGGAGAGGGAGGAGGAGGAGGGAAGCTGAGCTGTGGAATTCCACCACCATCTGTCGGCAGCAGCTGCAGTTTCACAGCAGGAATTGATCCTTCAGCACCTCCTTCCCGAGCTCTCCTGACACCCCCTGCCCCTGTGGGCTCAGTGCCAGCAGAGTTATCCCTTGGAGCTGCTGATTCTGGAATGAAATCCTCATGGAAATCGGCCCCGATCCCAAATTCTGCCCCACATTATTAAAATCTCAATCAAGGTCCCTCGGTTTGAGTGGGTGACAGAACAGTCAGAGCAGCAAATCCAACCAGAGCTAAAAATTCTAAAATTCTAAAATTCTAAAATTTTAGAAGAATTCTAAAATTCTAAAATTTCAGATTCTAAAATTCCTGGAATTTCAGGTGGGAAAAGGTGTCAGGATGGTCCAGCCCCAAACCCAAAGCTCCTGATTTCCCTCTCCTTCCAAAGGAACGAAACACAACAAACATTTCAAACCAAAGCTCAAATCTCAGGCTGCAAAATCAGAGCTTTCAATAAAAGATTTGAATTGTTTTTACTCAGAGTGGCTTTAAAAGTTACTCAGCCACTTGAATATTTTTTGGTGGTTCTGAAAGCAGCTCTAAGAGGAAATTCTTCATATTTTTCACATATATATATATAAATTTATTTCGTTTTTGATACTCCAGAAGCTCCCTGAGTGTTACTGTAACTTCCAAATATGCACATCTTCAGTCCTGAGCACTAAATATCAACAAAACCCCCTTTTTTCCCTGTGTTCAAATGTTTTCTAATTAATAATTTGAATAATTAATGACAAAACAGAAGATGTGGGAGGTTGCATGCACTGTGATAAATTTTTTTTTTAAATTATTTTTAGGTGGGCTGCAATGAAATCACAGCCATATTTTAGATACATAAATGAGGATATTTTATAAAATAAACTTTTAATTGGAAAGATCCTGGAGTTACATAATAACAGCATAATTAGAGTGCAAAAACCACTGCTGGGTGTGATATTAGAAAAGTTTTTTGTTTTCCAACTTACCTTTCATGACAATATCTTTCATTTTTCATGGGGAAAACTTAAATCCAGGAGGCAATTTTGTACTCAAAAGAAAGATGCTTTAAAATATGGTTTCAATACTCAAATTGAGAAATAAATGAGGCTGAATGTGCAAATTTCTCCTCGTCCAAAATAATAAAATCAGCAATGCAACCAAAATCCTGCAACTTTTCCCATTTTTCAGAACCATCAGATACTTGCAGACAGTTTTTAAAGCAGGGAAAATATTAAAAAATCCACTTTTTGATAGAAAACAGAAACAAAATTTGTTAGAAAGTCACACAAAAAATGTGGAAAAGGAGAATATTGCAAGGAAAAGGAACTTACATTCCCAGACATTTTGTCGAGTTCACTCATGGCCTCGTGAATAGCAGCTTCTAAATGGTTATTTAGCTTTCCACTTCTAGGGAGAAAAGAGRAAAGGCATCAGTGATTCACAGGAAAAGAAATAAAACTTTAAAAAATGTCAGTWACAAACACAGGGATTGGTTGGGAATGTTCTGACCCTGGAGATTTTCAGGTTGGGAGCACGAGGAAGATGAGCAGAACTGTAAAAATATTATGGGAAGTCAAGGTYTGTGTTGGGATTATGGAAAAAAGGTAAAATATCCTTCTAACTGTAAATAAATTGTATTTGTTATCTCAAATATTCCCAGTTTTAGTCTGGGAATATTTAAATATTCTCAAATATTCTGTGACTCTGTGATTTTGGGATTCTGTGACTCTGATTTTGGGATTCTGGGATTCTGTGACTGTGATTTTGGGATTCTGTGACTCTGATTTTGGGATTCTGTAATTTTGGAATTCTGTGATTTTGGGATTCTGTGACTCTGATTCTGGGATTCTGTGATCTTGGGATTCTGTGATTCTGGGATTCTGTGATTTTGGGATTCCGGGATTTTGGGATTCTGTGATTTTGGGATTCTGTGACTCTGGGATTCTCTGATTCTATGACTCTGATTTTGGGATTCTGTGACTCTGTGACTTTGGGATTCTGTGATTCTGTGACTGTGATTTTGGGATTTTGTGATTTTGTGATTCTGTGATTTTGGGATTCTGTGATTCTGTGACTCTGTGATTTTAGGATTCTGTGATTTTGGGATTCTGGGATTCTGTGACTGTGATTTTGGGATTCTGTGACTCTCTAATTTTGGGATTCTGTGATTGTGGGATTCTGTGACTCTGTGGAATCAGGACAAGCAGAATCCATGGAATTATGGAATAATTTATTTAAATATTCTTTATGGCAGCTTTAACCTCTTTAAATCTGCCCCTGCTGTCCTTGAGCCCCTGATTTCACTCCAGGGATGGGAATAAATAACTGGGAAGTGCCAAAAGCCTTTCTGGGTTCCCTTAAAATCCAGGAAGGCATTTTGAGGATGATCTTGGAAAAATCAGCCACCAACACTGTCTCACTGACATCAAAGTTCCTTCTCTTCAGCCCTGTGGGACACAGAAATAAAAGCAAAGCTCCTCCCTGGAAAGGAGGGGAAGAGAGAATTATTGAATTATTGAATTCTTTCCAGCCTGGGGTG